ATATAGTGGGGAACTTCATGATACCTGGAGGGGGCTCGAACAGTTCATACAGTGAGGAACTTCATGATACCTGGAGGGGGCTGGAACAGTCATTAAAGTGGGGAACTTCATGATACCTGGAGGGGGCTGGAACAGTTCATATAGTGGGGAACTTCATGATACCTGGAGGGAGCTGGAACAGACCATATAGTGGGGAACTTTATGATACCTGGTGGGGGCTGGAACAGTTCATATAGTGGGGAACTTCATGATACCTGTAGGTGGGTCGAACAGTTCATATAGTGGGGAACTTCATGATACCTGGAGGTGGGTCGACCAGTTCATATAGTGGGGAACTTCATGATACCTGGAGGGAGCTGGAACAGACCATATAGTGGGGAACTTTATGATACCTGGTGGGGGCTGGAACAGTCCATATAGTGGGGAACTTCATGATACCTGGAGGGGGCTGGAACAGTCCATATAGTGGGGAACTTCATGATACCTGGAGGGGGCTGGAACAGTTCATAGAGTGGGGAACTTCATGATACCTGGAGGGGGCTGGAACAGTTCATATAGTGGGGAACTTCATGATACCTGGAGGGAGCTGGAACAGTTCATATAGTGGGGAACTTCATGATACCTGGAGGGGGCTCGAACAGTTCATACAGTGAGGAACTTCATGATACCTGGAGGGGGCTGGAACAGTCATTAAAGTGGGGAACTTCATGATACCTGGAGGGGGCTGGAACAGTTCATATAGTGGGGAACTTCATGATACCTGGAGGGAGCTGGAACAGACCATATAGTGGGGAACTTTATGATACCTGGTGGGGGCTGGAACAGTTCATATAGTGGGGAACTTCATGATACCTGTAGGTGGGTCGAACAGTTCATATAGTGGGGAACTTCATGATACCTGGAGGTGGGTCGACCAGTTCATATAGTGGGGAACTTCATGATACCTGGAGGGAGCTGGAACAGACCATATAGTGGGGAACTTTATGATACCTGGTGGGGGCTGGAACAGTCCATATAGTGGGGAACTTCATGATACCTGGTGGGGGCTGGAACAGTCCTTATAGTGGGGAACTTCATGATACCTGGAGGGGGCTGGAACAGTTCATAGAGTGGGGAACTTCATGATACCTGGAGGGGGCTGGAACAGTTCATATAGTGGGGAACTTCATGATACCTGCAGGTGGGTCGAACAGTTCATATAGTGGGGAACTTCATGATACCTGGAGGGGGCTGGAACAGTTCATATAGTGGGGAACTTCATGATACCTGGAGGGGGCTGGAACAGTTCATATAGTGGGGAACTTCATGATACCTGGTGGGGGCTGGAACAGTTCATATAGTGGGGAACTTCATGATACCTGGTGGGGGCTGGAACAGTTCATATAGTGGGGAACTTCATGATAACTGGTGGGGGCTGGAACAGTCATTAAAGTGGGGAACTTCATGATACCTGGTGGAGGCTGGAACAGTTCATATAGTGGGGAACTTCATGATACCTGGAGGGGGCTGGAACAGTTCATTTATTGGGGAATTTCATGATACCTGGAGGGGGCTGGAACAGTTCATATATTGGGGAACTTCATGATACCTGGAGGGAGCTGGAACAGACCATATAGTGGGGAACTTTATGATACCTGGTGGGGGCTGGAACAGTTCATATAGTGGGGAACTTCATGATACCTGGTGGGGGCTGGAACAGTCCTTATAGTGGGGAACTTCATGATACCTGGAGGGGGCTGGAACAGTTCATAGAGTGGGGAACTTCATGATACCTGGAGGGGGCTGTAACAGTTCATATAGTGGGGAACTTCATGATACCTGCAGGTGGGTCGAACAGTTCATATATTGGGGAACTTCATGATACCTGGAGGGGGCTGGAACAGTTCATATAGTGGGGAACTTCATGATACCTGGAGGGGGCTGGAACAGTTCATATAGTGGGGAACTTCATGATACCTGGAGGGAGCTGGAACAGTTCATATAGTGGGGAACTTCATGATACCTGGAGGGGGCTGGAACAGTTCATAGAGTGGGGAACTTCATGATACCTGGAGGGGGCTGGAACAGTTCATATAGTGGGGAACTTCATGATACCTGAAGGGAGCTGGAACAGTTCATAGAGTGGGGAACTTCATGATACCTGGAGGGGGCTGGAACAGTTCATATAGTGGGGAACTTCATGATACCTGGAGGGGGCTGGAACAGTTCATATAGTGGGGAACTTCATGATACCTGGAGGGAGCTGGAACAGTCCATATAGTGGGGAACTTCATGATACCTGCAGGTGGGTCGAAAAGTTCATATAGTGGGGAACTTCATGATACCTGGAGGGGGCTGGAACAGTTCATATAGTGGGGAACTTCGTGATACCTGGAGGGAGCTGGAACAGTTCATATAGTGGGTAACTTCATGATACCTGGAGGGGGCTGGAACAGTTCATATAGTGGGTAACTTCATGATACCTGGAGGGGGCTGGAACAGACCATATAGTGGGGAACTTCATGATACCTGGAGGGGGCTGGAACAGACCATATAGTTGGGAACTTCATGATACCTGGAGGGTGCTGGAACAGTCCATATAGTGGGGAACTTGATGATACCTGGAGGGGGCTGGAACAGTTCATATAGTGGGGAACTTCATGATACCTGGTGGGGGCTGGAACAGTTCATATAGTGGGGAACTTCATGATACCTGGAGGGGGCTGGAACAGACCATATAGTGGGGAACTTCATGATACCTGGTGGGGGCTGGAACAGTTCATATAGTGGGGAACTTCATGATACCTGGAGGGAGCTGGAACAGTTCATATAGTGGGTAACTTCATGATACCTGGAGGGGGCTGGAACAGACCACATAGTGGGGAACTTCATGATACCTGGAGGGGGCTGGAACAGACCATATAGTTGGGAACTTCATGATACCTGGAGGGTGCTGGAACAGTTCATATAGTGGGGAACTTCATGATACCTGGAGGGGGCTGGAACAGTTCATATAGTGGGGAACTTCATGATACCTGGAGGGGGCTGGAACAGTCCATATAGTGGGGAACTTGATGATACCTGGAGGGGGCTGGAACAGTTCATATAGTGGGGAACTTCATGATACCTGGAGGGGGCTGGAACAGTTCATATAGTGGGGAACTTCATGATACCTAGAGGGAGCTGGAACAGACCATATAGTGGGTAACTTCATGATACCTGCAGGTGGGTCGAAGAGTTCATATAGTGGGGTACTTTATGATACCTGGAGGTGGGTGGAACAGTTCATATAGTTGGGAACTTCATGATACCTGGAGGGGGCTGGAACAGTCCGTATAGTGGGGAACTTTATGATACTCGCTTGCAATTATTGTTGGCTTAATGTAACTAAACGCAACATAGGTATGCACTTGATGGAATATTGTCACATTGAAACAGTTTTCATGTCTTCATGGCGACACAATACAGGGCAGCAGTGAGCGAAATAAGCGCCTCTCCGGTATCCCGTGGTTAATTGGTTATCTTTAATGCTAATGTAAATAGCTATGAGCCATAATATACTCAGCTCAACACTGTGGGAGTGAGAGAGCATGATCCAAGTGAAGCCATTCATCACTGGAGCAGTCTGTTGACAAAGTGCTAGATGGTGCACAACTTCAGGCTGGCAAAGATGAAGAATCTGGTATATGATAGGAGCTACGCTTCAAGCTTTTGTATCGTTGTACGGAAGTCAAACGCCGATTTTGGCACCGCGACTCTGCAGAAATGACAGAAACCCGTTATTGACTGAGGTTGCAGTTCTAACTTTGTTGAAACTTGAAATATGTGTTCTCCCTCTGCTGCCATTCATTTTCTAGAGTAAAGACACGATATAACAAAATTGAGCATATCTAGCTAGCCCGGCTGGATAATGATGTTGACAACTTATTTCACATACTGTATGCCAGTAGCGTGAAAATGGCAAGTAGTATGTATGGTTTGGTCAGTGAACTCACTGTGGCATTATTAAGGTTTAGATCATCACAAATAAATAAACATTATGTCGATAGATAATTATAACATTCATATCTGCGTTTACTTACGACCTTAAACCTTGTGTTGTAAATGAGAGTAGCGCCCCTTGGGCCAAGTGGCCAGTCGTTCGCAATGTCGTCCTCATGTCAACTGATGCACTTCTGTGTCCTGAGTCTTTCGTACTCCGAAACTGAACAGTTGGTGTTGCTTAACTGTAATTACATCCCATTTCAAAACAGACAAACCATTTGCTGACTCGTATGAAATCACATAGGCATTATGACATGGCTGGATGATTCAATAGTCTCGCTGAAGCTAGACTTTCCGTTGATGTAAAACCTTTTTATGCTCTATTTCCCCACCCACTGACTGAAAATGATAGGATTAAAAGAAAACGAAAGTCAGTGCATATTTTTAAAAACTTTTTTGGCTTCTTATCCCGGCATAATTAGTTATGTTTTTAAGCCCTTTTGAACTTCTGATATCTTTGAGTCAATCTGACGGATAAGTAATTGTAAAATGACTGAATATTTTGGCGTTTTGTAAATTGCATAAGTGAAAATTTCAGTCATTTTAAACATTGACTGATATTACACTTTGACTTAAACATATAGATGATATCTTGAACACGATTTTAGAATCGGCATATTATCTCTTTATTATAACCAATCTCGGAGGAAGCTGCGCACATTACTGCTGGGTTGAACATTGAGAGTCTGTGGTCGAATCACCAGTCTCAAATGTTGCATCATACGCCACACGCCAATCAACAAGGTCTTTCTTCAACGTTGAATTTAACCCATGTTGTCGTAAGAGGCGACTAACGGGATCGGGTGGTCAGGCTCGCGGACTTGGTTGATGCTTGTCATCGATCCCAATTGCGTGGATCGCGGCTCATGGTGTCTATCACTGGATTGTCTGGTCCTGTCTCGATTATTTACAGATCGCCATCATACAGCTAGAATAGTGCTGAGTGCGGCGTTATACAACAGACAAACAACGTTGAATTTCGATAATCAGCTTATATCGTCAGCTTGTGTTGAAAAACACTCGTTGTAATAAAGCGTTATCTGACGGCGACTCGTTTAGTGATCTATGTGTATACAACTAGTCAACACACAAAGCGGAAACAAATTTGAACAACATACACGAAACGGATCTTCCCGAAATCAACCATAGAGCAACCAATATTCGGCTATCACATTATGACACCAATTTCCCCTGCTATAATGCATGCACACGGTGTCATGTGTAAAGCAACATAACTACCTTTGTACAACTCTCAGTGGCCTGGATACATTCGCCGAGACCGGTTGTCGATCATCACAACTCACTGTTCAACACATTCTAAAAAGGTTATAAAAGGTCCATACATTTCCGCCAAGGGAACCTCTCTCCGACGCACATTCCACGACAACCAGCGCGAAGTTGTTCTGGTAGGTACTGCTGTGTGTTTTCAGTAAACCTCATATTGACTAATGTTCATATCCCAGACTCTAGCTTCATTACTTTTACCACACGTAGCTGTATTCAGCTTCTCGTCCATCTAAAGACACACGACGAAGACATGTGCTGCTCAACAGATCCCATTGTTAAAACTATCCAGTGCATATATAGTAGCTTTCCTTACATAGTTACAGATTTTCCAGGGTTTTTAATATATAGAAATGGGGGGAAGATTTCTGGATACTTTCACACAACAAGCTGTGCAGCCATGTGTGACAAGACGTTCCACTGACTGGTGTTTGTGAGTGCTCCGCGCCGTGTTTTGTTAGTGTGTTGTGATCCATGTTCGTATGCGTGGGTATAATATCTGTGCATTCTATAAGGTACATGTATTCATGACCATGTCTGTGTATAACAAAACGTAAATGGATGCGAGAAATTCGGACGATTTCACTCACCTTCACGACGATATGAATAACTGTAGAAATTCATTAACATGTTATTCAACGCCATACACCCATGTTGTGAAATATTTAGCCTCCTGCATATTTCATCTTCTAATATGTTTGTGTTAACATGTAAATGTAGTACATTAAGTAACACAAACATGTTTTTTCACAGTATTTGTGTTTGAACGTCAAGCGACCAGGTGCATAGTGTATGGACGAAAGAAGTTAATCAGCTGCCCCGTGCGTAGGGTGGCGGACTTGCTGCACCGACACGACACGATATTTTGAATGAATGAAGAAATTCATTTAATGTGTCGGTGATATGTAAGTGTTGAGTGAATCTGACGATGTGCGGTACACATGTGATATGTGTGCTGACATTTAATCGCACCGGATGATTTTCACACATCACTAGTGTGAAGTTCCGCCTGGAGATTTTGGGGTCAGATTCACAACACTGACTCGTGTGTATGTATGTCCCCATTGTTAGTCCGTGCTCATGTCACAGTGCCCCATGCTGTCAAAGGCAAGTGCAGCATAATAATAGCACAGCTCCACCAACTGCCAAAGCCCAAACGCGATAAACAGTCAAAGGACTTACCTGAACATATGTATACAAAATAATATTGATCGTAAATCGGGTTTTGCAGCAAGTACTCTTTATGTTTGTAAATGTTGCTCTGTCCAGCACATTCTCATACTACTTTATTTACATCTGGTCATTTACCTCTAACATACGGAACTAATAATGTCAACATTAGGACATGCATCTTCGTCATGTTATCGTCTGATAAGCCGGCAGTTGTGTTCGATTATGTAAGACCTCCCGTTAGCATTATTAAAATATACATAAATAACGTTTTCTCTTCGGGTAACCTGACACGGAGTAATTGATAAATACATGACTGTATAGGGGGCGTTGGAGTAGCCTAGTGGTTAAACCATTCGCCCGTCACGCCGAAGGCCCGGGCTTGAATCCCCGCAGGGGTACAATGTGTGAAGCTCATTTCTGGTGTCCCCCGCCGTGATATTACTGGTATATTTCTAAAAGCGGCTTCAAACCAAAGTCACTCATGAGTATATGAATAGCAATTAATAAATAACATTTGCATTGCTTGTTCAGGGCACTGACAGTAAATTGGGTTTAGCATCTTTCAATTAATAATAGTTGAGTGATTCTAGACCTATCCATGTCATGACTAAATTGTAGTTTGGCTTTAGAATTAAATGTTCATCAAACGTTGTGGTGAACATTGCCCTGTGACAAAGTTGGGGATCAAGTAGGGGATCATGGAAAATAAAGGTTGTGATCGGTCGCCAGAAGAAAGATCAGCTTTGAAAAATAACTGCCAGAGATAGAACGGTTTCGGAACCAACCCTTACGCCCCAACACACCCGAAACATTGCACACAGTTATATTTTATCACATAATTTGAACATTATTTAGGGACTGGTCATTTAATAGATGTGGGGACTCCTGATAAAATGTTACAGGTATTTTGGAGGGCATGTCAAACTGTTGCATGAAATGTGTTTGCCAGCAAAATTATTATACAATACGAAGACCCATTAGGGTGGTCTAATTTTTGTTACTGGTGGCCTTTAGCATAGTTTTATTAATAAAACGTGATCTCTTGTGTGAGGATGTGTTATCAATTTGATCAGGTTCGGTGTATTCTATAACGGTGATATCTAACATATTGTTTTACTGTCCTTTCTCGACAGGCATTATATCATGAATAACTTGTTCTCGTCGCTATACGATTGCAGTAGCGCCGATGAGATGTACGATTTTAGCTCACTCACTAGTTCGATAACCTTGCTTTCTGGACGTAGTTCAAAATACCTTTATGCTAAATACATAACTCTGCACGCATGGTGCCCCAATCAGGATGTAACAAGGTATTACCAAAGATAAATATACGTCTTTGGTATAACAAAGGTCCGTTTGGAGTTTTGACCTGTCCAAAGTTGACCATGTGAGTAATAGCCAGTAGACTTCATTTTAGCACAACAGCACAACAAAGGGTCATGACGACCCAGCACGTCCTATGAATGAATTTCCTGAAGAGATCGCGCGTCTGCTCAATGATGCAGCACGTGCAACGTTTGGGGAAAGGCGTCCAGACCACCCCACCCGAGAAAAGTAATAATAACAAACCCCATTTTGGGACAGAATGTCGAAATAAACGCAAAACATTTTTTAATCAAAACGCCGATACTTTAAACATAAATCAGAAATTAATAAACGTTATTATCGACAATGTTCAAAAGAATATAAGAAGTGCCTTAATAAACATATTAATGATTACAAAACTGAATTTAGTACAATGATAAGAGAAAAAGCTTAATATTCACCTAAAGAATTCTGGAAAATCTTCAATGAGTGTAATAGAAATCAAAATTCGGAAACACTCGATATCACGGAATTTGTACAACATTTTAAGAACATTTAATGGAGAAAATGAAGTGTTAGACAATGATGACAATGTTTGAATACTGACATAACCTTTAATGATATATCACAGTCCATTAAGAGTCTTAAAGGTAACAAAGCCGCAGGGGAATGGTGATTCTACCGCACTGCCACCTGGGACAGATTTATACCCCAATACCTATACAACAGACGTATTTTTTTATGCAAAATCCGCGAAGCGAACAAATGATCGTCAGGATACTAAGTTATTTTTTTATGCAAAAACGATGATGCAATTCAATAATCGTCACGACTCTAAACTAAATTGTAATGAACATATTCTCTATTGTTTTTACTCATACGCATACCATTATTTTGAACAAAGTGATATTCAACATTTTCACTAAGTTCTTCGTTCATTTTACCAGGAGACCACACTGTATACTCTTCTTTGAAATTGGAAAGAAACAATTGATAACCGTATTTGGATGGTTTGGCATCACTGATATAATATATATCTTGAGGCAAATGTCGCCATTTGATAATTTTGTCCCGTAGCATTAATGCTTCGATAGCTTTTTCAAGATTTCCTTTGTTGGCTTGTAATTCCCCATTATTATAGACTGATGTGGGCATTCGTCTTAATGAATGTATTGCGATCCAACGATGTATCCAGGAAACAATTTATTTTTAATCTCCAACCAGTTCTTTGGTTTTGGCACGGAATAATTGACGCGCTTGTTGTCTCCCCTGTTCTATGAACTTTTTCTCTCGTCTTCACAAATACCACTGGTCTTACCAGAATTTGATCGAATCTCCTGCCTCATTGCGTTGTATTTGGTGAGTTTTGACAACAATAAACGAAATTCTACCTCGGATATCTTGCAATCAGCCAGTGCTGTTGAAATATGATCCTCAATGCTATTCAACTTTGCTTCAGCGAGTATACGAATACTATCATGTTTTAATGCTTTCTTTTGCAACTTACGAGAAATAAATTTTATCGCTGTTCCCGCCAGACCAGAGACCCCGGCTGCTACTTCCATACCAAGTACGATAGGCATAGCATTTATAGTTGATAATAAACCAACACCGGCCGCAAAAGTCCCATGCTAGATGCTTACAAGTGCAGTGTCAACTCCGTCGAGAGCATTTACAGCTCAGCAATACTTTTTGTATAATCCAAGTCTCAACTTCCTCTCCTCTATGCAAGTATTTATGTCACTTATTTGATGTAACCGAAATCCATCAGTAGGCTCAATCCAAACTAGACTATGTTAAGGCAAGACAATACATGTCTCCGAGTAATATGGAACTTAAGATTGGTAAAGTTGTAGGCTATAATAATAAAATTGTTATTGCTTCCGATCAACAAAAAAACAGGTATAAATTCAGATATTAACACCGAATTAATAGCGCAAACAATTGCAGGCGAACCGGGAATAGTCAAGCCACAGTCATCTAGTGTAACAGAAGTGCAACAGCCACAAGTTGTAAAACCACATATTGACGACAAAAATAGCGCTTATAGTAGAGACACGGTTTACTCATGATTTGGATACTTTAGTGGATACATACAACAGCCTGGCAATTGCTACGATCACAGCCCACAAGTTTTGGCTAAGCCAAGTTGGCTAATAAATTCAAGAGCCAGGATACAACACTCCCTATTATACCAGCTCACCATGCTTGCCCTAAAAGGCGACTTACGGGATCGAGTGTTCAGGCTCGCTGACTTGGTTGATGCATGTCATCGATCCCAATTGCGTGGATCGATGCTCATGATATTAATCACTGGATTGTCTGGTCCAGACTCGATTATTTACAGACCGCCTTCATATAGCTGGAATATTGCCGAGTGCGGCGTTAAACAACCAACCAACCAACCAACCCTATTATGCCCGGAAGTGCAGACACGGTTTTCCCAGCCAGCTTCCCTTGTGCTTCTCCTGTTGCCTTTAAATGCTTTTTCATCCACTCTTTTACACCACCCTCACGAAGAGGCGTACCACTGCCTGTACCACTACCGCCTCCAGTTACCGCGAGATCCAAAGTTGATATAATATATCCCAATGCGGTTAAAACGCTGGGAATGGTTATCCCCTGTTCTCTGAACAATGTTTTA